TGGTTTACCAGTCATCTCTTACTTTGGTCACCATTGACATATACTTCCTGTTTCTTTGTGATATATAGAAAATCAAAGCAAAGGCAGTAAATTAGATTGAACCAAACAAGATACTGGAACACTGAGTTTTTATCTACCCTGTGATACCCATGTTTCATTGTCACACATGAGTCAATTGTCAAGTATCCGAATATAAATCACCCATGTGGGTGCTACAACGGTCAAAAGTGTGAAAAATGGTCATAAGACACTTTTTTCAGTGCCATTGTAACTTCAATCAGTCACTAAACAAGCTGTTGTAAGTCAAGGACTAGCTATATTTGTCATTGTGGAACTCCTGCTTTGAAGCTTTGTATCTAAAAGCTGGAAAGGTGAGATAATGAAAATAAAACAAATTTTGGTTACAATAAATTAAAAAGTGGCATTAAGATAACTTTAACATTAGAAATGAGAAATATAATAAAATTTCTTAACTACAATAAATTAATCCTGAATTATTATACAGCATTTTTTTTTGCAATCTAACATGAAACAAATCACTTGTTTAAAATTAAGTGTACATAATTAACATGCTTGTTTCATTTTTTAAAAAGCTCATTTCAGAATGCCTGTTGATTCTCATTGTTAAATGCCAGATTCTGTTTTTTTCTCTCGTTCCACTAGAAGGAATGATATCAAAGCAGTGTTAAACCTAGAATATTCCTGCTGACCAAAAGGTAATAGCTGATTTTCTCCTCTTTTTTTGGTTACCAATATAATCTGTTTCAGTGGTTGGAAGATCCTCTTGTCTTCCAAAACAGATATAGAAACACAAAGAATTGCAGCATAAACTATTGCATCGTCTTATTCCTTCATGGATGGAAAAATCACTTTAATTTTGGGGGACAAATTCTGGATATAGCTCAGCTCATTTTTAAAAAAAAGCATATGTGATAAACATTGTGATAAATAATACCTATTTAATTACCCTTTCATCATTAATCTTTCAAAACAGAATCTATTTGTCTTTTCATAGCCACTTTTCATATGGCACATCTGCAATATTACACATTTTATGTGAAATTGATATTCAAGATGTCAATGGAGTTTGTTTCTAAGCAAATGTAAGAGTTGAAGAGGCCATTTTGACCATCAAATACAACTGGTCTCTCATACAGGAATACAGGAATCCACCTCAAAGCATTTCATAAAAATGGTTCTCCAGTCTCTGCTTCCATGCATTCAATGAATAGGAGCTCACCGTGTCTCTGAGTGACATTTCACTAAGAAACTCTTCTTGCTGTTAGAAAGTATTTCCTGACATTCCTTTGGAATCTGTACTGCTGTAAGTTAAATCTGTTATTCTATGCCCTGCCTTCTAAAGCAAGAGACAGCAAGTCTTCTATACGACATCCTAGCAAGGCTTTATGATACATTGACAAAGCCATCCTGACTTCTGTTTCTTTCTGTATTGTTTTCAAAGTGCTTACAAATCAATTATTAAGTGCTCTGGAATCTTCCTAGATTTCAGTATTAAGCTGACTGGTGTGTAATTTGCTGGGTGTTCCTCCCCGGATGTTCTTCCTCCACGTACCTTCTTTAAAGATAAGGACAGCATTTTTTCCCCCTTCCTCTCTCTGTCCCTTTACCAAGATTTCTCAGACAAAATGGTTTGATCAGACCACCAATTAATTCTTTCAGTACTTTAGAAAGTAATTCATTCTAGTTCTGGTTTTTTGAACTTCTTTAAAATAAAGATGATTATCTGGATTTGTTTTTCTCTTACCAATTTCAAGTTTCAAACTTATCTTTTTATCCTGTTCTTCACAACTTTGTGGTGGAAGGTTTACTTTTTTTGTTGTTGAAAAAGACCGTAAAAAATAGTTAACTAGCTCTATTTTTCTTTGCTGTCTGTTCTCATTTCGTTACCTTCGTGGACAATTGTGCCCAGTGTACAGAAGGGTATTACAAATAATCATGCATATCCATGTCACCATGATAATGCTTTAATATCATCAGTGTGAACAAAATACCAATCCAATATAAAAATGTTTCTTGCAAGACTACATAGAATTTCACACTATATAAATATGATCCTACTAATATATCTCTGTTGATTTTCCCCCAAGTTAGGGCTGTAACCTTATTTGCCTTTGTATTAAGTAACAAAGCAGTTAAAGATCTAAGTAAACTTTGTAGTACTAATAAAAATTAACATTTCTCCTGATTTTTAAATATTTTTTTTCGTCTTCCAGGGAAAACACCTAACCCAGACATTATCTTTCTCTGAGTCGTAACTTAGGGCACTGTTCCGTACGTGACCCAGCATGAGAATGAACCACCTACTATTTTGCAAGAACTGAATGGATGAGGAATTTGTGAAGAATGAATTACATTGTCCTCAATCCACCTGTAATTTGCTGGGAAGGTGACCTCCTGCTGAGTTTTCTAGCTGTGCATCAAACGTACAGCATTGTTTTTCGTCTTTGTAGCTAGAAGCAGGGAAGTCTGGTTTGCTTACTTAATTCTATCTAACAAAAACATCCCTGTTCCAATTGTCTGAAATGTGCTCTTTGAGGTACACCCATTTTCTTAGTCTCTGCCCTCTGCCTTTGATGGCATTTCCTCAGTGGTGGGTTTCAAAAATTGTTTGAACCTACTCTGTGGGTGTGGC